TAAAAGCAACTTTTTAGGTGAAATATTCACATTATGTGAAATATCTTTACTCTCAATAGTTACATACAAATCTATAGAACATAAAAAGAAGAGTGGTGCGGTATTTCACAGTGTAATCTCCTCTCATTTCCATACCTTACCCTATGTATAATTTTTTTTTTAAATATTAACTAAGCAAAGGAAATGCAATATTTCTAAGTGCAATTTTTCTTCCATCTCTAGAGTAGCATAAACTCACTTCAAAAAGAAAGTGATTATTTAGTAGGCGTTTAGACATAAGAATTTTAAAATGAAAAATAAATGGAAAAAAAAATTCAAGTGAAAATGATATTTGAAAATTAGAGTTGTGTTTGGACATGAATATAATTTTGGGTTATTTTGAAGTTTCTTGAGTAATCTGAGTGAAAATTTTGAAAAACGGTTTTTTGGAGTTTTTCAAATTTTAAAAAATCCCAAAATGCATGTTCAAGTGAAATTTAAAAATTTCGGAAAAGGGCCAAAACTATCCCTATCGTTTGATAAATGGTTTATAAATCCGTTCAAAAAATACACTTCGTCCATCTATCCGTTCAAAAAAACACACGAAGTTAATTCTATTAACAAAAATACCCCCGCGACTAACGGCAGAACTGATGGAGTGTGTTTTTTTGAACGGATAGATGGACGGAGGGTATTTATAAACCATTTAGCAAACGATAGGGGATTTTTGACCAAGAATCAAATATGGGTCTTATTTTTACCCATTTATCTGGTCCGACCCTATTTATTTAACCCGCCTAATTATTTTCTTTCTTTTTCTTTGCTTTTTTTTCCCCTCTCTTTTTCCTTATCACCCAGCACACCACTCTCATCTCACAAAGAATTTTTAGCGTTTCTTTGTTGAAACAAATCTTTGTGTTTGAAAATATGGCTTTGGCTTTCACTTCATCTGCAATTCATGGCTCTTTGTCCTCCTCTTCTTCTTCTTCTTATGAACATCCCAAAGGAAACCTTTTACCTTTTTTTTTTTTACCTTTTATAGATTCAATCTTTATCCTATAATATGGTAACCCTTTCACTTTTCAAGCTTTTTAGCACCTTGATTTTAATTTTCTTGTGCGCTTGTATCAGTTATATTTAGTTATTTTTCTCTGTTATTTCGTGGCTCTTTTGTCTTCTTATGAACAATCCAAATGATTTCCATTACTTGTCCATTTCGAAGTTTCAATATTTTTCCTAGATTTGATTGATATATTTGGACAATTTTAGCATTTGGGCTCAGTTTTTTTGTTTCAGATTTTTGGTTTGTTTTGATCCTTGTCTTCTTACTTAACAACCCAAATGTATCTGTTGATTTCCCATTTAAGAGTTTCAATACTTATCCTGAGTTTGATTGGAGAAATTTTAGAATCTAGTTTGAATTTCGGGTTATTTGATTTTGGGATTTATCTATTCTTTAATTAATTTGTTATTGAGTGTATGCAGTGTCCCAATTGGAGAAGAAGAAAGGGGGAGATCAGATGAGTGAGAATGGGTGTGATAGATACTACCCATTTTTGTAAATGGGTCGGATAAGGTAAATGGATTGAAATAATATCCATTTTTTGTTCCAGTCAAAGATTGCCACGTGGCCCAATTAAAAATCCATCGTTTGTTAAATGGTTTATAAATACCCTCAGTCCATCTATCCGTTCAAACAAAACACACTCCATCAGTTCTGCCGTTAGTCAATTAACTTCGTGTGTTTTTTTGAACGGATAGATGGACGGAGGGTATTTATAAACCATTTATCAAACAATAGGGATAGCTTTGGCCCTTTTCCGTAAAAATTTTATGAAAAAACTCTAATTACGAAAAAAAAAAATTGAAATAGGAAAAAGAATTCTTTATGTCCAAACGGGCTCTTAATAGTAATAAAATAAAATCGAGGACGTACTTAGGACAAACATAACTAGTAGTAGTACAACTTTATAGGATAGACATAAACTTTTGTCCTAAAACGTACAGTACAAGGCAAATGAATAGTACACATTCCCACAATTTAAACTAAACTAACCAATCGCCCCACCTTCTCATTATTCTCACTCCAAACCCCCCCCCCCTCTCCCCGCCCCACTTCCCAAACCCCCCCCCCCCCCCACCTATCCAAAGGTTCATACTTTTCCAACAAATCAAACAATCTAAAACCAACCCATCATCTTCCTCAAAAACCCCACCTCAAACTCCTCCTCTTCCGATCACAAATTCAAAAACCCAAAAATCAAAGCAAAAATGATGCACATGACCTTTTACTGGGGTAACAAAGTGACCCTTTTGTTCGATTTTTGGAAAACCGATTCTTGGTCAAGCTATGCCCTCGCTTTACTCGCTTGTTTCATCGTCTCCGTTTTTTACCAGTACATGGAAGATCGCCGTCAACGATTCAAGATTCTCTCTTCAAATTCCAAGAAAAACTATCCTTCGCCGTCGTCCAACGCCGCCGTGAATACCCCTCTTCTTTACTCTTTTCCGACTGTCGGCGGTGTATGGAACTCGGCGAGATTTGCGACGGCGATTTTGTTTGGGATTAATTCGGCGATTGGGTATATGCTTATGTTGGCTATTATGTCATTTAACGGCGGCGTTTTTGTCGCCGTCGTTTTGGGTCTGTCGATTGGATATTTGCTTTTTAGGACCGGGGAAGAGGATGTTGTGGTCGTTGATAATCCATGTGCCTGTGCTTGAAATTTTCTGAATTTTAATGTTACTTGTAATGGGTTTGATTCTTGTTTTACCCATAGAAATTATATGGAAAAATGATAATGAAGATGTTTTTTTTTTGGTTTTTAGATAGTTGGGTCTGTGGTTTCTAAACCTGCTGATCTTTTTCATTTCCTTCTGTTGTTGTGTATTTCTGGATCTGAATACTATAAATTTACATTTCTCTATTTCATTATTTATTGTTTTCCAAATTTTTGTCTCATTTAGTGGCGTTTGCTTTATAATTTAGATTTTTGTTTTTGAAATTTTAGCAAATTGTTTTCAACTAACTACTAAGAAAGAATCTTTTTATTGAAAGAGTTTTTAAAAGAATTTGAAAATTATTTGCAAAAAATATTCTTGAAAATTTTGAGGCAAAACTCCACCGCTAGCTGGCTTTAATAGGAATGGAAGGTTCTGTTATTATATAAGTAAGTAACATCTGTTTTTGCTTATTTACTTGATAATGCCATAAGAGTTGGATTGTCTGTACATTTACTGAGAAAGAGAAACAAACAGTGCTATAGTTAATCCCTATACATTTTAAAACAGCAATAACGACAAACCAACCAACTGTTGTTTGGCTTCTGGAGTTTTTTTAGCACCAATGGGAAGTGATCTGAATGGAAAAATTGTAGAGTGATTTTTATTTGGATGGACAAAAATGAGAAGCATGACACAACTGCAAATAATACTTTTCCCCATTAGTAATTACCACATGGACAAACTTTTGATGTGTGATTTTTCTGGGTATATTACCCCACATGGCGAGTGGGGTGGGGCTATAATATGAGTAGAATAATTCCCATAAAAAGAATATAATTCTGAGTTCTGGCACTTGGCCGTCTTCTCGTCCAAATTCAGTAGTTCGTTTTTATTGGAAATGTCGTTTCAATAAGAAGAAGAGAATAGTAGTGACTAACAGGTTCAGCTTTATATTTCAAGATTGGACTAGAAAGAAACGTTAGAAGTAATCCTCCAACAAATTATTATTATTATGTCTTTTATTACGATGCAGAGTGTTGGCTAGTCAAGAATTTCCATATCCAGAAGATGAAAGTTGCAGGATGCTGAGATGGATGTGCGGGCACACTTAGCTGGATAAGATTAGGAATAAAGATATCCGGGTGAAGGTGGGCGTGGCTTCCATGGAAGACAAGATGCGGGAAGTTAGGCTTAGATGGTTCGGGCACGTGCAGAGGAGAAGCCTGAATGCCAAGGTATGGAGGTGTGAATGGTTGGTCTTGATGGGTATGAGGAGAGTTAGAGGGCAGCTTAAGAAATATTGGGGAGAGGTGATCGGGCAGGACATGGTGCAGCTGCAGATTTTCGAGGACTTGGCCCTTGATAGGAAGTTGTGGAGGTCGAGCATTAGGGTTGAGAATAGGAAATAGGAGGCTAGTTTGATAGTGTTTTGTTTTAGGCTGCTAGTGGTTCCAACTGTGTTTGGGTTGTAGGTTAGATTGTAAGAAGCCGGTCTGGAAGTGTTTTTTCCTAGGATGTTAGTGGCTCTTGTCATACCTTTATTATTCCATCGCGACTGTGCCATCGATGTTGCTTAGTGTTGTACCTGTCTCTCTATTTTCTGGTTATTACGTTGCTGGTGTTATTTTCTTGGATTCATTTGCTGGAAATTGTCTCGTTTCATCTTATTGTGCCGAGAGTCTATTCGAAACAGCCTCTCTACTTCTCCAGAGTAGGGCTCTCGGGGTAAGGTCAGCGTACACACTACCCTCCCCAGATCCCACTTGTGAGATTTCACTGTCTGTTGTTGTTGTCGTCGTCTTTTATTACGAATTTTCAAAATTTAAAATACAAGAAAAAATGGTTTACAAATTTTTTGTTTAGCTACTAAATAAGTAGAGTATCTAAATTTACCCGCAGATCAAAACAAATTGCTCTCGTTTTCCAAATCACCATATTTTTTTGAGAATGAAGTAATCTTCTACTAATTGAAGTCCAATATCTTGTAGATATTTCAGTCTGCGAAGACATTCTTTTTTATCGACGATTGGCTGCAGTAACACGATACTTATATGCTGAAGAATAAAAAGAAAGTCTTTATGCAAAAATTCTTTGAGGATTTGATTGCAACAAGTCAGGCAAGTTGCTAATATTCCTCAACCACGAACTACATCGTTCACATCATCAAGAGATTCATAAGTGAAATTAGTAATTTCAAACAAGCAATGGCAGTAAATAACAAAGCATTAGCTCTTTTTCATCTTCGAAGCTGAGGTTCTATAACAAAGGGAAAGGGGTTATGCTGCGGCCTGCAAACAAGTAGCTAAGAACGGATTGCTATGACAAATTACTATATCAATACAGAATATGTAAACAGTGAACAATTGTTTTCTTTCAGGGTACATCAGAAACACATATTCAGCCTTGTCTAAAATTGACGGCTTCATATGCAAATCATATATCATGTCTTCTAATGATCATACTGAAATCACGGGGGTTAATTTCCTGGAGCATATTACTGATGCAACAACATTCAGAAGTTAGCATCAAGGTTTAAAAGAATGTGATACATACTCCCCAACTTATCAACAAAACAACTCTGGCACTAATGTACACTCAGCGATCTGGGAGAAGCGCCCAAGCATTAAGCAAATGGAGCGAGGAGATTTGGTGGAAGGTTGTGAGCATAAAGCCAGGGTTGAAGTAATGGAGCTGTCAAAACGCAATTGTCAATTGTCAAGCTGGTCCAATGAGGGAAATGGTGGCAGAGGTACTGACATGAATGTACAAGCACAAAATTGTAATTGCTTATTGCTGATCTTGAATCTTTAGTGAGACTAATTCACTATCCTGCTGTTGGCCTCTCGACCTCGAGGTCTTTGGACGCCATCTTTGAAAACATTCTGGTAACCTGGAAAAGGTCACACATATATTGAACCACAAACCTATGAGTAAACACATGAAGGTGATTTGAGTAATTAAACATACAGTTAGATACTACTATAGATATTCATCACTTCAGACAAGGAAAAGTCTATCAAAATATTGAACAAAAACACAAACGATTTTAACAAGTTAAAATCTCTTGAAACCAATTGTTACTAAGAAATGAAAGTGCATACTGGCTTTGGTACTGCCATTTCTGTCCCCCCATCACGCAGTAACACCCAAGAGAGAAAAAGAACTGAAAAAGAAAAAAAAAAGATGTACCGCATGCTCTCTCTCATTTTCTTCGTTTCCTCTCTTTTAGGTCAGTGGGCAAATAGGGTCTACACCATTTAATGTTGCAAAACATTGGAATGCAAAATGAATAGTATAATATAGGAAAAAAATTGAACTCGACTTACAGATCCAATCTTTCATAAATTGCTCTACGGACTGAGCTGTTAAGACCATATGCTATTGAGTTAAAGAGACCCTAAACAAAGCATAGAAGATTTGTCAAGACAGAACATGTCAATACTTTAGAGTCCGAGTTGTTATAAGGAAGAACAGAACAAAACTAAACATCAGCATAATATCAGAGATAATTTCATATCCACCAAGAATCCTAACTCATAAACATAGGCACTCAAACCAAACTAATCAGCTTTCAGTTAACATAATAAGTAATCAGTTTAAAATTCACCATCTAGTTGGCAAACACTTAGTGGCGTTACTCATGAAATTCTGTTTATAATCTTCGTGGAAGTGGAGGATCTAAACATTCTTTCCAGAGAGAATTTGCTTGTTAATACTAGTTACCAAAGAGGTCCATGTCTGCCTGCAATCTATCTGATGTACAATAAGGACATAAAACAATCATTGAGGAGTGTAACATTCACTCTGTACACCTTCCACAACCACATGAGAGAGAAGAGAAAAGAGAGAATTCATCTAGAGATACTAGGGTTTACCATGAGCTGTGCCATTCCAACGTCAAGAACAGAAAGCCAAAAGATCTTATGACCTGGTTCAATAAAGTCATGTATACGGTTGATTGTGCCGAAAAACCATGATCCTATAAGAATGAGGGGATAGTAACCCCAACGATTTAGTGCCTGCACGATGTCCAACAGAGTAACAGTTGATAAAAAGAGCAAATACCAAGAAAAGTACATGAGACGGTGTCAATAACAAAAGACAAGCATCTTCCATCTCTGCCCCATACTCTTAAGATATTATTTTGATTTGCTTTCACTTAACAGAGGAAGCTCTGCGTACCTTCATATCTGACCGAGGATCTGGTTGGTATGACCTTTCTGACATGCCCACTGCCATCTGGAATATTAGAAGAAGAATCAGCATACTTGAAATGTCACAATTATCTTCAAAACCCAATTTTTCATGAACAAATACAAGAAATCATAAATTATTAAGGACAAAGACAATAAGTAACATACACGAGTTGCATTGTTTAGCATCCGTATTACTTGAAAATAGGTGACACCATTAAAAAGAATGGCACTCCAAAGAGGTGCATAAAACGTGATGAAGTGGGTAACCTGCAGTGATGAACACGGCAAAGATTAATTCGATAAAAGTGTTTCAAGCTAAAAGAGAATACAGCCCAAACAGCTGAAATACGACCATCTGCACTGTTTCACCAAAATCAGAACAATCTTTTTTCCTTAAAAAGGAAAATGAATTAAAATAAGAGATTAAATGTGAGAACTCCTTTGCCAATCAACAATCAATTACATCGTGCATTTATTTATGACGTCAACTTAAATTCATGAAAGTAACAGAAATCCAAATCATACAATTTTCAGTATTTCAAAACTATCACAATTTCCGAAGCTCATAAACTATGGAAATGACATTCAAATAAAATTCAATAGGCAATACCATGAAAAATGCAAAGCAGATCTAGAGATTATGACCACTAAATACTTGCCTTTCCTGCATGTCCTGTTTGTGCCCAACACCAAGTCCCTAACCGACTTAGATGCTCATGATTATTGGCCATTGATCGTATAACTGTCATTACTCCTGAAGTTCCTGGGAGAAGCATCGGGATTAAACAATATGCTCTATGCATTCAGAAACAGAGAAAGGAACCACAGTAACCAATTATAGAAGCCAATTTGTTGTCTCTGATAAAAAAAGGTACCCCAAACGTATAGATGAAACATAGGCTCCAAATCTTCAACATCTGTCTTATGCCTAACAACTGTCCGGTGAAGAGTAAAGGCAATTGTTGTAGTCCACAAGAAAGAGGCTAGGCAGAAGAAATGTGTTGTATAGCCTTGAGCATAACAGAAGAACCCCTTGGAAGGATCCCTATGTGACCAAAAGAACTCACAGTTAACAGTAAAGAAGAGCCATTTAGAATGACAATTCTCGGCGGCCTGCTATAAATAACTTATAGAAGAGAGTGGCCATACCCAATTATGCTGAAGAAACTGCAGCACATGTCCTGCACTCAAATGAAGTAAAAGAAGTCCTCAAATGAGAGAAACTTAAAGCATACAGGGAGCATAAATCACTAACGTAAGACCTACAAATGACAGATTGCAAGTCATAATACAAAAAAGAAGCATCTGAGTATTCAATCTTCTTGATAGGCACACACCATTAGTTAATAATACAATCTAAAATCATAGACATGATTACCACTTATGGAATTACAGTAGATGCATTTTTCTTCCTATTCTTCCGTTCTATTGATTGAGTTCTTCGCAATAGTCCTTCGGCTTGAGTAAACACAGCAACAATCTCCTTTTAATATATTAACCAAGAAATAAAAACTAAACTTAAAACAGAGTAAATTCAGCAACCTCTAATCTGGATTACCGAATAAAATGCTCAGAGATATAATATTATCCAAGGATATGAGATAACAGCTTGATTGATATTAAGCTGTTTAAGCAACAAATTAAAAACATAGAGTCAACTTCATTTCCATTAGAACTACTAGCTCCGTAACTAAAACTCTAATCCCCACTGCAGCTACATCAATTTGATCCAATGATCTAAATTGAATTCAGATTAATTTCAGTGTAGCCACTGTGGGAGAGAGACCACAAGATTCTGGGCACAGTGCAGTCACATATCACGATAACTAATCCTAAATAACCACTATGCATATAAACTTTTTTCTTGTTTTTTCATTTTCTTTTAACTTTTCAAAGTACGTATTTATCTTCTTCTTTTGTTTCTCTTTCATTTACAAGAAATTTCCGCATTACTTGCCAAATAAAAGGATCCCTTGATATCAAAGCTTTGAGAAGCCCAAGTAAATGGAACAACTGGTTGTATGGAGTTACAATCTATTTGTAAAAGATAGAGTCAACAGCATTTCCATTAGAGCTACTAGCTCATCTATGCAAGTTCTCATTCTATTGAGCTACATACATTTGGTCCAATGATTGAATTACCCACTGTGGGACAGTGAGATATGTACCAATATTGGAGCAGTCACAATACTAATTGTAGAGAACCAATATCGATAGCAACTTCTTCTTTTTCTATCTTTTTATAACCATGGCGTTCAGTCCAGCTTGCGTGCACCTCGACTAAAGATATCAGCTTCATTCACGTTATTTCTTCTTTCTCTCTTCTTTTTTACCTTCTTTCTTTTATATCTACTTTCAAGTACTTTGTTTCGTTGTTTTATTCTTTTGATTTAAGCCCGCCCGCGGTAAGAAAATTTTCCATAGCTTGCGTCATTAGGTATTTATTTAAAAATGAAGAAGTATTTTGACTATTCAATTGCATTTCCATTCCAAACCTCCAAGCTCACTGAATCAAACCCCTGTTCTACTACATCTACACATTTTACTCGATTCAATGAAAAACAAAAGGTAAACTAAATTACTTCAAATATAGCCACATTTTGAGGAAGAAGAAAGTAAAATGCAATTTTACAATAATTGACTAGCTCTCGATAAAATTATCAAAAATCGAACTAACCCTAAGTACTGAGAAAGAAGAGAGAGTAGACAAAAGGTGAAAGCAAATTTACTGACGGATAAAGCGAGGTAGAAGACAAGCTTGAAGGAGAACTTGCGGAGCTCTTTGAATAGCAAATAACAGAGCACTATGAATCCGGAACCGACCAATGATAGACTTGATGCTCCGCTGTTCACTGCCGTCAGTATTTGCCGTTCTGCTACCGTCAAATTCCCCATCACAGCTTTAACTGTCGCCATTTTTCAAGCTTCTGATTACACTTTGAAACCACAAATATCGCGTTATGATTCGTTGTGTTGATCGGTAAAAGCTTAGGATCGAAGAAAGCAAAAGGAAGTTATCTGCTGGCAAGCAATATGAAATCTAAGGGCTTTTCCTGGAATATGCCAATTCAATGACTGACAGACTTATATACAGTGACACGCTTTACATGTCAACAAGCGTCGCTTTGGCCGAGTGGTTAAGGCGTGTGCCTGCTAAGTACATGGGGTTTCCCCGCGAGAGTTCGAATCTCTCAGGCGACGTCCTTCTTTTTGTGCGTTATTTGCTTTAGCATTTCCCTTTTTATGATTATCATATCATTTTAATAATTTATTAGTAGCTCATAAGTTGTAAATATGAACAAATTGACCCATCAAAATTCTGGACTAAAGTACTGCATCTCTTGGATTGATTCTCAACCTTCTATTTTGGGCTAAAACAGTAGGCTAAAACTAGAAACAAAGAACAAGAGAAATGGATGGAGAGAGAAACTTGTTGACCTAATTGTAACAAAAAAATATCAAATTAAGTGGTTTTGACTTGTCTAAATGAGTTATAATCCACAACTAAATACATACTATTTCATCCATTTCATGGTATATGACGGTAGCTGATTGGACATAATATACCCTTTTAATTCTTCGCTAAGATTTGATTGGATTAATTCTATGGTTTGCGTGGCCCAAATTAATTGTTTATGTGATGGGAAGTGAGAAAATACTTGGTCTGATTTCTTGGAATGTTGATATATGTTCGAGGATGTTGAGAGTCAAATACAAACTTTAAACGAGGGGCTAATCTAACAAGTGAAACAAGGTTTAACTTCAAAAAGTATAACTATTGATGTATGAAAGAGGTTGGCCATAATTTCTGAAGGACAATTGTGCTTCCCATATATAAGATTTCAAACATTTTGACATTTGAACGTTTTTACGAAAAAAATTATGATTATTTCACTAAGAAGAGTATCCAGGATTTGAATTCTACGGATTCAGATTTGCAGTTCTACCAAGCATAATTTACTATTTGTATATATTTAATGATTTTTTGGACAAATTTGCTAAGGGGGTTAAAAAAAGGAATAAGTTAAAAAATTTAAAGAGATTATAGCTAGTGAGATTTGAACCAATAACCTCATAATGGTTTTGAACCCCCTTGACCAGCAAGCCATGCTTTTGGGTTGTGTAAAGAAGATTCAGAACATAATATATAAAAGTAAAATAGATCTTGACTTATATACACAGTGTAATTTTTCGGCGAAGGGGTTCGGGTGAACACCCTTGCGCCCCTAAATCCGCCCCTGGGAAGAGAGGGGTGGATGGGAACTGTGAGGAAGGAGTAGTGTTCCTTTCAATCAAGAGAAAAGGTCAAGTTTCCTAACTAACTCTGTTTTAGCAGGTAGAATTTATATATTAGTAGAGTACAAATGGAAGTTTCTAAGAACACTTTATATTATCTATGCTATAAACTATTTGAAGCTGAATGTTCTATTTTTCAGATTGATGCAATCACGTTGTTGCTTCATTTCTTTTAGGTGTTGAAATTCTGACCAACTCCACTTAACCAAAGAAAGCCGTCTCCATTTATTAAATACCCACAATATTTTTTTTAATAACAGTAAGGTTTTAGCCAACTCGCACGACCTCGACTATTACACACGTATCTGCTAGCCTGTTACTTCCCACCACAATTAATTCCATGTATGAAATGCATCTATTTTCTTCGTACGTGTATTGGTGGAAAGTAGCAGGTATTCAATAAAATAATCGAAGTGTACTCACACAGACTCGGACACCATCATTATACAAATATTGTAGCATATCAAAAGCAAATGTTACAATAGAATTGGCTTAGTCTTGTTTACTTTTGCCATTCCATATCTTACAACTGAAGTGTTCACAAAAAAAAAAAAACTAGAAAAGTTACAATCCTATACCTGAAATCAGGTTTTAAGCAGTAAACTAGAATGAATATGCTGCTTACACCTTCTATATACTGCTTACTGCATTAATATTTACTACTACTATATATTTCTCAAAAGAATCCTTCCCTGGACCTTGCGTGACCACGAGATGTTTTGTGCACTGGGCTGCCTTCTTTATACACAAATAGTATTTTCCGAATTATTATCATTTTTTGCTGCAGTGCAAAAGTTCTATAGCTAGTGAAGTTTTATTACTTAGATTCTTCACTGCAATGCTTGAGGAAGCTATCTTTGCCATATCTCAATGCCTTCTATAAAGAGCTGTATCCGAGTAAGACGCCACCATTCTCTGCCTATTGATTCTCTGTCTCCATCCATAACCTTGATTTTTCCCATTCAAGTACTTCTCCTTTCTGCTTCTCCCATTTCGTTCGGGTGTTGCAGCATCCTCTTTTTCGCCATTTTTCTCACTCTCACTGCTGAAATCACTGTTCGATGTCATTGTTATCATTGGATCGCTTATTGCAGTGTTAGTGTTGTTGCTTTCCTCCTGAAGTGTCTCAAGAATCTTGACAACATCATCCATTGTAGGTCTAGGCTTAGGATAATGACTTAAGCATTTGTATGCTACTAATGCTGCAGTTTGTGCGTCTTTAATCGGGTATTCACCTTCAAGTCTTCGGTCCATCACACGAGCAATTTTCTTTGGATCTCTTAAATAAGGCCTTAACCATTCAACCAAATTCGTTTCTCCTTCTCGTCTTTTTTTATCCAAAGATCTTTTACCAGTCAGCATTTCCAACAGAACTACTCCAAAGCTGTATACATCACTCATTGTTGTCAAATGACCTGGAAATCATGGCATTGACAATGAACTAGTTAATCACAATTTGGACTAGAAAAGTCTCACTGTATCACTTTTTCCAATTCTAGAATGCCTTAACTTCCAAAGATATACAAGGGAATCATGATATTCACAATCAAATGTGTTCAAGTGTTTATATTAGTGTACCTGTCATGATGTATTCAGGGGCTGCGTAGCCGTGTGTACCCATTATTCGTGTGGATACATGCGTATCGTCCCCTGCTGGTCCATCCTTTGCTAGTCCGAAATCAGAAAGTTTAGCAGTGTAATCCTACAAGAGAGATCATCGTGTTTCAAAAGTCGTTATCTCTCTGTCTTTGTCTGGTTTTCATTTTTTACAAACACTATTTGATCGAAAATGATGAACAGAAAGGAAGCCAGATGGAAGGAGGAATAGCTTACTGAATTTATTAAGATGTTTGATGCCTTAAAATCTCTGTATATGACTGGTTTTTCGCCTTCATGGAGGAACGCGAGACCTTTTGCTGCTCCTAATGCTATCTTCATCCTTGTTGACCACGATAATGTGATCGAAAACTCTGCATAATTGCCATAAATACAAACATTTGAGAACTATAAATCAACGCATACCTTGGTTTCAGGTTCTCTGAGTTCTAAAAACCATATAATAGTAAGCTATTTCTAACATTTATGTCTAATTTCTGCGACACCCTAGGCGAATCCCATATCGACAAAACACGGGAGAAATGCTGGGTATATAAGTAGATATGCCCTAGACCCTAGTAATGCGTTTTAAAGCCGTGCGGGTTTAAGCCCAAAGCGAACAATATCACTTGTGGGCTGGTATGTTACATATGGTATCAGAGTCACTCCACGTGCAACCTTGAATGCTGGTGGGGCAAATCTCGACGAGGACGCTGAGTCCCTAAGGGTGTGTATGTGACACCCTAGGCGAATCTCACATCGACAAAATACGAGAGAGATGTTGGGTATATAAGTAGACAGACCTTAAACCCTAGTGACGCATTTTAAAGTCAAGCGGACAATATCACTAGTGGGCTAGGCTGTTACAACATCCCTATTCTGAATTCATATTGAGAGAAAAAAATGTGGAAACTTACTTCCAAAGAGTTGATTTTCCAAGCTTCCCCTTGGCAAGAATTCATAGACTAGGAGTCTATTATTATCTTCCCAGCAGTATCCAATCAATTTTACCAGATGTGGATGCCTCAGTTGCCCCAAGAATATTATCTCTGTCTACATAAAAAATCACGTTCAACATTTTAACTTGACCACTTAACATACAACAACACAATTATGGCCTCAACCAACGAAAGTTGGGGTCGGCTATATGAATCGTCGCATAGAAAATAATGAAAAACAACTCACCAGCCATTCCTTGTGACCTTGCAAACCATCTGTATCCAACACCTTAACAGCTACAACCTGAGGTTTTAACCCTGGCCTAAGCTTATCGTCGACGAATCCCTTGTATACAGGTCCAAATCCTCCTTCACCAAGAAAATTAGCAGATGAAAAATGGTGTGTAACCTCTCTAAGTTGAGTAAATGTGAAGTTGATAAGGTTTGATCCAATGAATGAATTGGATAATCCATCAGCAGATAATGGTGAACTTGGATCATCAAAATCTAATAGAGTCAATCTCTGAAATGAACTTTGTTTTTTGACCTTTTTCTTTGATCTTATTAACTCATCATCTACTTTGTAACAACATGGAATCATTGATTTCCAAGTTAAAACCATTTCTTCACCAAATACTTTGAAAAAAACAAACAACAAAAAGTATAGAAGATCAACAACTGAAGGAATGAGGCCTTAATTTTCTTGTGGAAGAGTTCTTGAGGCTTATAACTAATTTATCAATCACCTACTACTCAATTATATATATATATATATATATAGAGAAAAGTTTGATATAGACTGATGCCTTATTGCCTACCATTTTCTTGAATTATTCCCATGTAAACGTGTAATAAATAAATATTTATTAAAGTATATACACCAAATCAAATGTACTT